AGCCAGTCCTTATGATCAGTCAGCCTGTCAGGCATCCCACTCACTGAAGCGTCTAAAGCAATCAAGGCTCAACTACAATAGGAGAGAACACACAAAGGACACTTCCAGAAAACACACACAGGGAAACTGCACCATTGGACCACACAGGAAACCTACTACATAAGGCCACCCAGCAAATACAGAGACAGTAGGAGATCTACCTAATACATAGAAGCAAACACAGAGCATCTGGAATGAGGAAACAAAGAAACATGTCCCAAATAAAAGAACAGGAGAAACTCCAGAAATAGAACTAAATGAAATGGAGGCAACCAACCTACCAGAGACAGAGTTGAAAACACTGGTTATAAGAATGCTGAAGGAACTTACGTAATGAGTATTTAAACACAGAGTAAGGATAAAGAATACCAGAAACAGTAAAAAAGAACCAGTGAAAAATAAAGAATACAGTAACTGAAATGAAGAACACATTAGAAGGAATCAACAACAGCTTAGATGAAGCAGAAGATTGAATCAGTGATTTAGAAGACAAGGTAGCAGAAAACACCCAATCAGAACAAGAAAAGAAAAAATAATAAAAAAGACAAAGATAGTTTAAGGAACCTCTGGGACAACATCAAGCACAACGTTTGTATCATGGGGTACCAGAAGGAAAAGAGAGAGAGCAAGGGATTGAGAACCTATTTGAAGAAATAATAACTGAAAACTTCCCTAACCTGGTGAAGTAAATAGACACACAAGCCCAGGAAACTTAGTGTCCCAAACAAGATGAACACAGAGGCCCACACCAAGACACAATATAATTAAAATGCCAAAGGTTGAAGAGAAAGAATCTTAAATGCAGCAAGAGAAAAGCAGTTAGTCTTATGGGAGCTCCCTTGTAGGTAACTGTCAGCTGATTTGTCACCAGGAACTTCGCAGGCTAGAAGGGAGTGGCAGGAAATATTCAAAGTGATGAAAAAGAAGGGCCTACAACCAACACTACTCTATCCGGCAAGGCTATCATTTAAAATTGAAGGAGATTAAGGGCTTCCCAGACAAGAAAAAACTAAAGGAATTCATTACCACCAAGCCAGTATTATAAGGAATGTTAAAAGGACTTTTTTAAGTGGAAGAAAGGAGAAAACAAATGAACAAAAATATGAATAATAAAATGGCAATAACTCTGTACCTGTCAATAATCACTTTAAATGTAAAGGGATCAAATGTTCCAATCAAAAGATATAAGGTAGCTGAATGGATGAGAATACAAGAGACATCCATATACTGCTTACAAGATACCCACCTCAGATGGAAAGACACAGACTGAAAGTAAAGGGATGGAAAATTTCCCCTTTTTCATCCTCAGCACTAATAGTGCCTCTTACACAACAAGTGTTTAATAAATGTATGTTGAATGAAGAATGTAATTAGTGTAGTGCTTTAAGTGTGAATTCCTTTCAATACAGGCCTATGTAGTAAACTCTTGCATATCCAAGGTGATTGAGGAATAGAGCATTCCAATAATTGATTATGCTGCATAATAGCCAATTACAAATTCTCAGTTTTAGATAATTTGAATACCAAACAAAATGGGCTGTACAGAATTTATAGGTTTTTATTAATTCAGAAGATGCTTCAGCTTGATCATTCTGAATTGTCTGAGTCGTTTAGAACTGTGACTGAGGAAGCTGTAAGGGATTGAGTGCTATCTGTAGTGTTGCTTTGTCCCAAGCTGGGCCTTGTTTTTTCAGTTGCATCTCTAACACACTTATTTACTTACTATTTTGTCTTCTATATTAAGGAGTATACTATAAATTTGCCACTATGTAAAAGGAATTCACAATTGCATTATTATCAAATGTCGTTTGAAAAATGCTCAGAAGACAGACAAGCAACATCCCTTAAGGTGTGTACACTCGCCAGTTCACCAGACAGCTTCCTGCATTCAGGCGGGGCCCTAGTTAATGTCCGCTTGCTGAGCCCGTGAGGCACTGAGCCAAGCAGTTAATTTGATGGTACTCTCTGGCCATGACCATTGCAGTGTGCCTGACCCCACCCACATTATGTAATTATTATTCTCTCATTCATTTGAAAGTATAGTGATTGCTGCTCAGTTGTGTATTAATTTAATGATTCTCTTCTGCTCTCACCTGCTCAACCACACTGTTGCCAATTATTAGTTGCAAAACTTAAAATGACTGTTATGCATATGGGCCTGTTGTGTTCTCCTATGTTTGAAAGTGGCTTTGAGTAGAGGCCTGTTTGGAACCTAGGGACACGCTCTTCCTATATTTGCACAAGTGATCTGAACACTGGTCACGATGGCGAAGCTCTTAAATCCCTGCATTGCTGGGTCGTATGCTCTTGTTAAACATAGAAATCTTCCTGCAAAGCTTGATCTTTTTTAAAGCAAGAATTTGGAATATCAATCAGGTGTGTATTTTCTTAGTGATGGTCAGAAACATGTTTTGTAAATGTGACTTATTTAGATGCTGTATTGTTCAATTGACTCATCTCTATTTGAATCCTTATCTTTTCATCTATTTCCCAGCTTCTCTTGTCCCTTCCACCGCATAGTAATGCAGCATTTGGTATATAATTATTTTATGAAAGTGAATCATCTTGACTCAGGTAGGGGTGCTTGACCTATGTGTTAACTTGAAAATCCTACATGAAAGAACAGACAATTTAAAGGATTAAGTAATTTTTAAGAATGTGAATACTAGAGTAGTTAGTGATAGAAACAATGGGCTGCTTGATTGGTGATAAAATATTCACCAACTCACTAACCCAATTGTTCAGTTTAATCTGTGAACAAACAATAAAAATCATTCTTGCTACATTGTGCTAACAATATCAACTGAAGTTTTAGTTTGGGAAATATGTCAAAAACTTATCATTGATTTGAGCATTATTATGTTAAGAAGCTGATTGGTTCTATTAAATGCAGGATGGAAACATTTATGTCTTTATAGTATGACTTAAAATAATTATTAACTGATTAAACGAATGTGATTGCTTGCTAAGTCATACTTTTTTGTATTAGCCATGTTATGAATAAGAAAGATTCTCGGTCTCTGTTGTAGGAGAGGCAGTATGCCAGGTGTCCTGAGTTTTACTCATGGTTTCATCACTAACTTGTTGGCTGACTGGTGCCTTGGGTTCAAATGAACCATCATATAGCGAAGATCAGTTGGATCCTATATGGTGAACGTGCTCTGTAGGACAGTTAGGAGTTAAGTAAGATTTTAGCCTCTTTTCTAGACCTGTTTTTTCACTTAAACTCGCTGAGCTTTTGTTTCTTTATGGGTAAAACAGAGATGTTTGGACTGTATATTCAACTCCAGCGGTACTGTTTATATTGTTCAGCTCTTGCAAGCTTTTCATCATCATTGTTTTCCTATTCTTTTTCTTTTTTTTAAAAGTTTGTAGCAGAAGATAATTTTATTAGAGCAAAAAGTTACAGCTCTCGAAATGAGAGGGGTCCCGACTGGGATGCCCCTTCTATTCTTTTTTCTCAAAATGAAATTAGAGCCTTAAGAAAATGCTATTGTAGAAAATTCAACTATTCAATAGCAGTAAGCATAGTTTGGGAATTTTAACAATATAGCACCATTACAAGAAAGTCTTGTTAACGTATAATGTACAGTATATCTAAGAACCTTTCAATGTTGAAAAGTACAGTTTGTCCTTCAAATAAGATGTTAGTTCTATTTTAATAGGTATTGTTATTTTAAAAACACAGCTTCATTTATTTAATGTCTTAGATGCTTTTAAACTGAAAGGCTTATTTTGTTTGAGCCTTGTTATAGAAAGAAAACAGGTGAACTGAGTACTTAACTAAATTTTTCCCAATTTAAAAATTTTAATTTATTTTGTGATTCTAGTTAGGAAGAGCATTGACACACATGGCAAATTTTTCTAAGATTTCTAAAAATTTATATTGTAGGAGGGTACTGTTTTTATGGTACCCATTGTTAATATTTAAAAAAGGAATCTCTGGACTATCTGAAATAAGTAGGTCAGGCAGGGATTGGGACAAGTACATCCAGAAACATTAATTTCTGTCTAGAGTTCATTCTTGAGTTCTGTGTTTTAACATGTCCTCTTGTATGTCTCTGATATCTCCTTGTCCAGGCACACCAGCCCTAGATATTGATCTTACTTACATAAAACACTAGTGCTTTAGGGGTAACTGCCAGCACTGGTGTAGTCAGGACTCTGATGCTGAGCCTTTCTGATTCAGAAACCTCTGTCTGCCCCTGGGACATTTCTTAACTCGTGTTTCTCTTTTTTTCTGTTGAAAGTTTCCTGGTGGTCATTACTAGAGCAAAAGAAGCTCCGGTTAATAGCTCATTAGTCACAGTTTTATTTTTATATTTCCAACTGATGGCTTTGAAATGGTTGTGGCACTTTAAGGAAACTTTATATGCTGCCATTCTTAACCCTGTTCAGGAAATTCTAGCCACATAGGCCTTCTTTTCAGTTCTACTAATATACCAATTCATTTCAGCTCAGGGTTTTCTGCTTGTCCCTTTGGGGGAATGGTCTCCCCCCAGACTGTTGTTTGGCTGTATCCTTCTTGTCGTTTAAGTCTCAGCTTAAATGTCCCTTCTTCAAAGAGGTTTTTTTTCCTTGCCTCCAAATTAGTGCTCCTCCAAAACTCTTTATTACACAGCTGGGGCATTTTGTTTTGTTTACTGCTGTATCCCCAGCACCTAGGACAGTGTCTGCCACAGTAAGCATTCAAGTAAATATTTGTTGAATGTCCAAATAAATAATATTTCTATTGGCTATTCATATAATTCTGTCTTTTACTCTTTCATCTTTTTTTTTTCCATTGGTAGCAGAAAGGCACAATTAATGTTTTGCAGTTAATGTTTTACATACTTTTGATGTTTTTCTTTTCCTTTGCTTTTCTGTTCCTTAGTTGAATTCTTTCAGAGAAATAGGGGGAAAACCTTCTGATATTCAAACTCTTGAAATGTGACTGTTTCAATATGTCTGTTGTTTTCCAGATGGGTGTCTGAGCTGGTGCAAACTAGTCACAAAGCAGTTAACAGGTAGGAAAGATGGCTCCTATCAGCTGCTTCAGTCTTGCTTGAGTTGAGTTGGCCTCTACCCCAAAGGACTGCGCTGTCTACCTAGCAAAATGAAATTGCATTCTGGTACATATTTTTTTTCTAGGATTATAGAAGAGAAACAAATTCTAAGTTTATAAAATGAGTTAAAATGTGTCAACAAAATAGAACAGAATAATGACCTGCTGTTACAATGTGAATTCTGAGGCACAGCAGCAACATTTGTTTTCAGAAGAGTTGACATTAAAATTGTAGCACTTTTAGTTTTGTTGAAATGACTTTATTATGCCAAAAGGATAGATTTAATAACTTATTTATTGTAGTGTTAGTGAGGAAAGTGACAATTATATAAACTATGAATTCTGATCCTTAGGACATAGGTTTATGGCCTAGTTTTTTAGTCCCTTGCTCCTTCAATTCACTGTGTGGAAAGGGGCCGATTTGGAAAGAATGAAACTTAATTTCCTTTCTATTTCATCCCCTAGCTGTTAATTCATCCAATACGGATTCCATTTGACTGATAGACTTTAACCATTGTTATGTGCCATAAACAATGGATTTAAGTGGGTTTTATGTTGAGTATGTCAGTTCTAAGTTTTATATTGACACATGGCTCAATGTTAGCAAATGTGGTCTGCCTTTATCCTTTTTGATAAGTTTTGTTGGATGTGATTCCCAATCTGAGCTAGTTGTGAATAATGTAATGCTCCCTTTGAAAGTCTCCTTCTAATCAGTACTCCCTTCCTTTCATCCCTTTAGAACCTATGGCCTTTCATGAAACTAAAAGACTTTGTGTCATTAAATTTTGCTTTAATATTTTGTTACAAAAATTAAGAGAAGCTTCTTGCACAATGAGGATATTAACTTGTTTTTCTGGATGAATGAAATGTGCCTTTGTCATGCTAATGTGGTGACTCATGGTGGACCACTTAATAACTTCAGGATGGGGGGCTGGTCTTCAGAAACACCAACCAGATGAATAGAGGGTTAGGATTTTGGACAAGTCTGACCTCTGGAAAGGTGGGGCAGGTTTGAAGATTGAGTTCAATCATGTGGCTAGTGATTCAATTAGTCATGCTTATGTAATGAAACCCCACGAAGAATTCTGGACACCAAAGATCATTGGAGCTTTCTGATTGGTGAATGCCCTGATGTGCTGGGCTGATGACATACCCTGACTCATGGGAAGAGGGCATGGAAGCCCTTTGTTTGGGCCCCTCCCAGACCTTGCCCTATGTATATCCTTTACAATAAAACTGTAATTATAAATATAATGCTTTCCTAGTACTGCGAGTCATCCTAGAAAATTATCAAACTGAGTGTATCAGGGCAAACCCTGATTTGTGGCCAGTTAACTAGAAATGCAGGTGGCCTGGGGACTTCTGCAGTGCAGGTGGCATCAGAGTAAATGCAGTGTGTGGGTCACGCCTTGGATGTGTGGCTGCGACAAGGACTCTGAGAGGGTGGTGCCAGAATTGAATTGCAGTATACTCACTTAGAGTTGAAACAGAATGGTGGTGCATTTGTTCCAATTTACAAACCACTATTGATACTTTATTATAAACTGAAGTCCACAGTTGGCATTAGGGTTTACTCTTTATGTTGTACAGTTTCATGGGTTGTGACAAATTCATAATGTCATGGGTTTATCAGTATAGGATCATACAGAGTAGTTTCACTGTTCAGTAAAAACCCTTGTGTATCCCTAGTCACCTCTCTCTCTGTTGCCCCCAAAATCCTGACACGAGCACTCATCTTTTTACCGTCCCTTTAGTTTTTACCTTTTCCACACTGTTATATATTGGGTTGTCAGAAAAATCATGACGCATGTTTGCAACAGTGGCACTAGTTCATTTTTGGAAGTACTAGAGTCATTCACATCTATGTTATTGCTATGT